TAATACATGCATATACCTACTGCATATAATACATCAATACTATTGTAGCTAATATGTTCAAACTAACACATGTAGGGCTTCATGTGCCTCAAAGGATAATTATGCAAAGCACTTGTGTCCCCAGAATTAATGCACGGTATATATAAATACTAGTAAACGACTTTATTTAAATGTTATGTACATCCCGTTTTTAAAATGCATAAGCTCTTGGCACCGACTAGACCGTTACTTCCTCCAGGAGGTCTGTATTGCTCTTCAGCCACGATTTGCAAGGTGAACGACTTTGGCCGGTATCGTAAGTGGGCGGAGGAGAAGAAGATCGTGAATGTCTCCCTTAAACTAACGTTCATTTATGGTGATAAAAAGCATTTTTCGTGCAATTTACCCCGAAGATGAACCTCGGCAGCCACCCAGTGTGCTGAGTAGAAAGGGATCGACTGTCCCTAAATGAGCTCAGTGGTAAAAAGGAGTCCAGGAAGGGTTAAAATAAATAGCACTCACCTCTTTTTGAATGAATTCTAACTTCTCGCAAATAAATCTGATCAAAACACTGATAACTGCGAGACAGACAGCAAGAATTAGTATAGCAATGCTGATGAGTAAGACATCTATTCGGAAAGAAGGCTTCGAATCTCCTGAAACTAAAGCTTAAAAAAGCAGTTTTTTGAGATAAAAAACTGCTCTTTGGAAGAACTTATAACTTAGGCGTGAAAAGCGATTCATAAAAGAGGCCAAAAATTGATTCTTAGGGGACTAACAGATATGTATCAGACTGTTAAACCGTAAAATTCTTTTATATGTGTTTCAAAACAATTTTTTGCATTTGCTCAGATCATTATATATCTCAAGACCCTTCGTTATCCTAAACTGGCGCCACAAGCTTAATATAAATTATTTTTATTTTTGCTTTGAAGCTGAAATATGAAATGCAAATTGTCGGAATTTCTGTTCTGTGTATTAAAAAGAAAAAATATTATTGCCAAATACAAGTACATAGTTTACCTTGACAGTTTTCGGAGTTATAAAGATGAAACATTTTTATATCATGGGCTTTCAAGGAAAGTATGATATAAAATTTTTGAAATGTGGAAAAGCCAAGAATTTTTTGAAATGGCAAAGTACAACAGTTACAATTAATACTAATTAATGATTCAACCCTTTCCTCATCCCTCAGACGGCTTTTGAGAGGCTCCGCTCAGTGATTTTTCAAATACAGACTGCCGCTTGAGTATTAATTTTGATTCGTACGAATGAACATTTGCAAATCGCAGTAATATTGCCAAGTTTTAAAAAAAAAAGTGTAGAAGAAAGTTTAGTTATATTGAACTACATTCATGCAAATTTTACAGGTGATCATCAATTAACTTACTGTTTTCTTGTATAGTTCTGTGAATGCGTTCACTCTCGAAATACTCACAGTGAGCACCAACATAACCAGAAGGACATTCGCAATGTGGTGTTTCAATTATCACGCACTTCCCTGCTCCACAATCTAGCATGGAACAATCCAATTCTTTCTAAAATGTGCTGCGTATACAATAGTTCAATAGGCAAAATAAATGAGAGTACGCTCCTACCCGTCGTTCACAATTCCTGCCATAGTATTCTGCGGTACAGTTACATTTGTATAAAGTGGAATCATCGGTAAGGCATATACCACCATTCTTGCACACGTCCTTATGATTGGAGCAGTAATCCAGATCTCTAAATAGCTTTGGACTTGTTAAGTGTCCCTTCAAAAATATAAGACTCACATGTTGCAGAGTACACCTCCCCAGTTGGAAAAACATTCGCATTGATGAGCTGTGCGACAGTATCCATTTTGGCAACCAGCCAAAGGCACACATTCTGAGCAGAACAACCCTTTCCACCCAAAATCGCACCTGCAATATAAAAAGTACCGTGGTGTTTGCAGGCATAGAAAGATCTACAGCAGTGATCTTTTTCACTGTGCGCACGTGTAGATTTCTAAAGCTGTTTGAAAATCGAGGAAACAAGATGCGAGCTCGCAGAGCCTTTTGTCCAGTCCCGAATAAACCGACATAAAATTTTTCCTCAATTTTTCGCGCGCTG